ACACACACACACGCACGCACAGAGCAGTCAGCTGTCAGCTGCTCTATATCTCTGCCCCCCTATGGCGACATCTCTCTCTGTTTTCTTTATATTCCTGACCTTTAAACTCAGGACTTATGATGCTCTATTGATCTGATCCACACCCAAGCATATGTCCCTGCCCAGCAGAAACCATTTGGATATTACCCTTATAACCCAGTGACCTCTCCTTTATGAATTTGCCACACTGTGATAAACTGACTGTCAGAGTGTCTTTTTGTTTATGTGAAATCTTCCAAATTCCAATTTCTGACTTTGTTGTAATGTTCATCGTCTATGCTCTGGTGAAAAGTTTATATTATATGTTATCTTCATTAAAAATATAGAAGATAGATTTTTAATAGATAAAAAAATAAAATAAAAATCCTCACAAAGAACAGCGTTTGAATGTGTACACATGGTTATAAATATAGCTCATACTACACAGTGCATGTATTCATCAGAATCCAGTGCTGTTTTTTTTAACATGAGTTGCTGTGTCTTATTGAAAGCTTTATGTATGATGTTGTGCTCCAGAGCTCATCTGCTTGTCTAACCTGGAAAGGCAGCAGTTCTCTCCTCTAAGTTGATACAATGGGTGAACTTGGTCCAACTAAGATTTTCCAAAAGAGTGTTGATAAATCAATAGACTCTGAATTTCTGGTCAACATTTTCAAACAGCAGAATCAGGCAAACAACATAAGGTACAGTTCTACTACATAGCTAATATGTGCTATGTGACTACACCATTAAGCATTAAATGTATACCAGATGTTGGGGTGGGCGTGCTCATTAGATTGAGTTGGTAGTGATCCAGCCTGGTATCAGAGCTGAGGCCCCACAGGCACAGTTTGATTCAGCAGATAGAATGAGAAGCCCCATCCCCCGCCTTTTCTTGTATCTCCTTTTCTGCTTCACAGCAAACTGCACTCTTGACCTTTATTGATGAATGTTTTCTGCACATCCCAATAGGAAACACACATTCATGCATTCACACACACACTTCCTCTCTATACAACCCTTAAAGGGCATCTGATGAATACTATTTTAAACCACTAAATAAGTCTTTCAAGACACTGAAAAGATATACATGTAAAATATATGTGGGCAGAACACACACAGTAACACAATATGCATGGGCGCACACACAACAGACCCTCTACATGACCTCATGGAGAAACACAAGGTCAAGCTCCTGAAACAAGGTGGCCTCAGCATTGTGTGTGGGTGCATGATTGTGATTCTGTGTGTCAGTGGGAGGAGGTTTAAACCACAAGCAATCAGGCAGGTACACATCCCTCCAAAAGTACCGGAACAGTCAGGCCAATTCCTTTATTTTCCCTGCAGACTGAAAACATTTGGGTTTGACATCAAAAGATGAATATGAGACAAAGGATTTGCATTTTACCTTTTATTTCCAGGTTTTTCAAAGTAATTGTGGTAATGCTTTCCTTCTGTTTTTAATCAGTTTTTACAGTTGCAATGCACAACATGACAGCGTGTTACAGACTGTGATGCACAATCTAAAGCATAACTTATATGTTGTCTTCTTTCCCCCACTGCTCATCCTTTGCTGAAATGGGAACTGCTTACAGGTGAGTCCTAAGTTACTGTTTCTGTTTCACTATAAATATCACAGCTCTCACTCTCATTCTGTCACAACTAATATCAGATATTTTAGCTCATAAACACTAGTTGTCATCTCTCCTTTCAGACATGCACTCTGTTAATCTAACAGCAGCTAAACTGGTTGGCTGCATGTGGGAATGCGCTCCCTGGTCACTTATCCGTAACAGTTGTGCCGACAGTCTTACTAGGTTAGACCTGGTAATATTTGTGTATAACTGTCAACACAGCACAAGCGTGAAACGAGTCATCCCATCAACGGATAGACAGACACAAGCAGCGATACTTTAGGTTGTGCAATGTAATTCAAAGAAGGATGTTTTCCACAATTTAGCATCAATACTTATCCAAAAACATCACAGCTGGATTTCGCAAATCACAACACACCTTTCTAATCTATTAGGCAACAAAATGAAATGTCCATAATAAAAAAAAACTTACTGCAATGAAAACAGACGCTAACAGCTTAAAGATCAACATGTACCAGGAATGAATGTAATGCAAGTGTTACTTACTTAATCAGGTGGTAGAGCAGTTCGGTCAATGATCGGAAGGTCGGCGGTTTGATTCCGCTGTTGTGTCCTTGGGCAAGACACTTCGCCCACATTGCCTGGTATGAATGCGTATGAATGGATTGTTTGAGGTGGTGGTTGGAGGTGCTGTAGGCGCAGAATGGCAGCTACGCCTCTGTCAGTCTGCCCCAGGGGCAGCTGTGGCTACAATCGTAGCTACCACCACTGGAATGAATGTGTGTGAATGAATAATTGACAGTGTATGCCCTTTGAGTTATTCCTTGAGTTAGAAAAGCGCTATATAAATCTAATCAATTATTATTATTAATTATTTAGACACCTTGATCAGCTGCTATTAGTTTCGTGTTAGTCTGTTTACACTCGATGACTCTCGTGTGCACCATGATGCGCTCCAGCAATGTGGGTTGTCTGTGTGAATGCAGCTGTGAGGAACATTAATGGACAAGTGACCAATGTGTGAAAGGGCCTTAAAAGACTGAATGTCATCACTTCAATGGATTGATGAACCCAGCAATGTTCCACGTTCCATGTCTGAAAGGAGTTTATTATGTGTTATCACAGTGGTTCTCAACTGGTCTAGCATCAGGGTACAAATTTTCCAAATGTAAATACCAGATCATGAACACCCGTTCAGTTTCCATTCATCTAATCTGGTTGTCAGTAGATACAAATCTTTTTGCTGTGAGAAGATAATAATAACCAGTGATGAGAGAACAGTAACCTTTGCCATTTTAATTTGATCTAGCAAAATGAAAACTTGAGAAAAATATAAATATGGAGGAAGCACCGTCAAGAGAGTGCATCTACACATGCATTGCAGCTACTTCTGGTTTAATTAGACTATGAAAACCATTTTTACAATATAACATGAATAGGCCTGGTAAAAAAGAACAGAGCAACAATTGCAATGTTGCAAATGATAGAGAGAAGAATAGTAGTAGGCTGGCTGAATGTAATGCTGGCTCAAGTCAGCAAGTCAGTGGTCATGGCTAGAGGTCAGCAGGTGGGTTTTGCACTTTATTATATGTTTGGAACAACACATCAGGACAGAGGTTCAATGTGTCAGACTCCTGGCTGGTTTCAATGTAACACAGTCCAGTTTTTCTACGACTTTGTTTGAACAAGCTAATTATTCTTAATTATATTTTCAGTAAAATATATAATTTATATTATATAGTTGTGTAGGAAGTTATTGAACAAGAATTTCATCCTACAACCCTTTTTTTTTTCCTTTTTTGAATGAGTTGCCAAACCAAAGAAGCAGGTGAAGATTTTGAGCAGCTGCAAATAATGCTAATTGTTAAGTACTTGAGTAACTTTATTAAAATAACCTGCATCATTCTACTAAGAATTCATGTTGTTGCAGTTTTTGTTGAAAGTGATGGTTTCAGGTCCTATGATCTTCTCATAAACTACAAAAGAGGCTATGGGAGCAAATCAAAACCGGGCTTTTAGCAAGAAATCAGTTAATAACAGCAACCATAACATAGAAAACAAATAGGAACTGGAACAAGTGAAAAGAGGGGCGGATCTCATAACACTTCTTCAACAACAGTGGAAGGCAATGGTCACGTGACTTATTGAGTTAGTTACACTGCCACTCTTCAAAAAGCATTTCTCTAGAAAATTCACTGATATTTAACCTCTTAATTGACAAGTTAAACCACTCACTCACAACCCAGTCAAAATGAACCTAGTGGGTCAGTTGGGAACCACAGAGCTATAATGTAAAAAACCTGATGAATATGCATAGTTATAGCAATGCACAGTAAATGCTAACATGTCTCTAAAATGATTAACAGTCACATTACAGTTTGCCTATCCTTGTCTCTGTCTCTCTTTGGCTTTACGTTGGACTAACAGTCAAGATCCTCCAAGACCGTAAGTGTTTCTTTTTAACATTTATTGTATAGGGCTGCTGGAAATATGACACAATCCACAGGGTAAAAAAACAAAAAATACATACAGCAATTGTAATGATCAGTTTTTGTGATGTAAAACTTGTGTAAATCAAATTTTCTTACTAGCATGACCTCTTTCTTTCTTGTGAGTGATTACAATTGATTACAGCCGCTGACTTCTGTGAGTCAATTTAATTACAACACATCTGATCCACTCATTAGAACCAGGCACAAACACCACAGTGGGAAAGTCTGAGGAGCTCTTTGAAGAGGCAAATTATTGACTTGAACAAGTCAAGAAAGTCAACCATTTCAAAGCAGCTACAGATCCCATAATCATCTGTGCTTACAGTTGTTTCTAAGTATAAAGTTCATGGTTCAGTTGTGTCTTTGCCATGATCAGAACTAAAACCCAAATTATCACCTGCTGCTGAGAAGTGACTGGTCAGGATGGTCAAGAGTCAACCAAGAATCAGCAAAAAGCAGCTCTGCAATGAATCAGAAGCTGCAGGAGCACAGCTGTCAGTGTCCACAGTGTCTTAAAGCACCATGGACTGAGAGGCTACAGGAAGATTGTTGTGTCTTCAACGCAGTTGTGGCGTTCCAACAAGACAATGATACCAAACTCACATCGTAATGAAATGTCTGAATCAGGCTAGAATGAAGGTTTTAGACTGGTCTCCGTTATCTTCACTTAAACTGTGATGAAGGAACAAGTCTGTGTCAGAAAGCCAACAAATTTAGTTGAGTGGTAGAAGATACAGCCAGAAGCTTGTGGACGGCTACCAAAAAGGCCTAACGGAGGTAAAAATGGCCAAAGGACATTTACCCAAACAATAGAATTGCTGTATGTATATTTTCGACCCAGCACATTTTGTCATACTTCTACAAGACATGTAACAAATGTGTTAAAGCACAGAATAGTGTGATTGTTTTGTATAAATGTGACCCGTCTGCATGAAATCAGTCGCATTTTGCCTTGGGCTGTATCCGAGGTACAGCCTGAATTGCTTTAACACATGATAAAAAATTGATTTTGGGTTTATTACTTAGACCGGTCCATTTAGTTGTTTTCTACATATAGGTAACATATAATATTACAGAGTGTAATAATATTACGCTCCTTATTGCTGTCAAATACCGTCTGATTTACCGACTGATTTCGTGCAGATTGGTCACAAATATATATATATTTATATTATATGTACTACAATTGTGCTTTTTGTGTGTGTGTGTGTATGCGTGTAGCTGATCAGCTTCAATTACAGACCATTTCTCGTCTCTGTTAGACAGGAATTCATTCTCATAGTCCAAGCACAGAGCTTTATTTTACAGCATTGTGCTTCTCCTTTGATCTAGCAGGCAGCTGGCCCTCTGAAGTGCTTGTTATCTTGTATTGTGTGTACAGTACGCGTGAGTGTGTGTGTACTTGTGTACAATGTCAGTCCTGCAGGCCACAGTGGGCTAGAAATGCAAAAGGGCATAGAAATGTTGGCTGTATGGTACGATTGAGGGACTTTGGCTTAAGTGAGCCATTAAATATGTGAAGCAGAGAGAACACAGCTGTGAATCTGGAACTGTGATCTGTATTATCAGAATGTAGAGAAAGTTTACACTGATATATGAGGTTGATAAGGGCCATTCATTAAATCAAAAGACAAAGAAAGGAAAGATCAGTGTAAATCCTCACAGTCTAAAGGACAAGCCTGGTCAAATTCTGTATTGTTGTTATTGTGAAAATGAATCAAACAAATAATATATATATTTCTGCATTTCCATGAACTCATACTTTAGTTTATTGTGACTCAATCCTGCTGCCAGAAATATTCACAAGAGTTCCAAATGGGCCATCAAACACACTATATCCTCTTGTGTGTGTAACATTTGTTTAAAACAAGAGTCACTAACTGTTTGAGGATTCCTCAGTCCATCCACCCATCCATTATCTATACACCGCTTAATCCTTACTAGGGTCATGGAAGGGTTGGCAACCCCAAAACCCACAGGTAGGCACTGGCGGTGAGGGACGCCGTCAGGCTGAAGAAGGAGACCTTTCGGGCCTGGCTGGCTCAGGGGTCTCCTGAAGCAGCAGGCAGGTACCAGCTGGCCCAAAAGGGCCGCAGCTGCGGCAGTCTTGGAAGCTAAAACTCGGGTGTGGGAGGAGTTCGGGGAGGCTATGGAGAAGGATTTTCGGTCAGCCTCAAAGAAATTCTGGCAAACCGTCGACGCCTCAGAAAGGGGAGGCAGGGATTCACCCAGTCTGTGTACAGCCAGGGAGGAGACCTGTCAAGTGGTGGAAGCACTTTGAGGAACTCCTGAACCCGGTAAACATGTCCTTTGTTGAAGGGGCAGAGCCTAAAGACTCAGGGGTTTCTGTATCCATATCCGTGGTAAAAGTAGCCGAGGTAGTTAAGAAGCTCCTCGGTGGCAAAGCACCAGGTGTGGACGAGATTTGTCCCGGAGATGCTGAAGGCTCTGGACATTGTCGGACTGTCATGGCTGACATATCTCTTCAGTGTCACGTGGGCGTTGGATACGGTGCCTGTGGAGAGGCAGACCGGGGTGGTGGTTCACATTTTCAAAAAGGGGGACCAGAGAGTGTGTTCCAATTACCGAGGTATCACACTTCTCAGCCTCCCCGGGAAAGTTTACTCTCGGGTGCTGGAAAGGCGACTCCAACCAATTCTCGAACCTTGGATTCAGGAGGTGCAATGCAGATTCTGTCCTGGTCATGGAACAGTGGACCAGCTCTTTACCTTTGCGGAGCTGCTGAGGGGGACATGGGAATTTGACCTGCAAGTCCACATGTGCTTTGCGGATCTTGAGAAGGCCTATTGACATGTCCCCCGAGGGACTCTATGGGGGGGAGTATGGGGTACCAGGCTCGCTGCTACAACCATTCGGTCCCTGTACAACCAAAGTATGAGCTGTGTCCGCATTCTTGGCAACAAGTTAGAAATGTTCCCAGTGGGTGTTGGACTCCGCCAGGGCTGCCCCTTGTCCCCGATCCTGTTTGTGGTCTTCACGAACAGGATCTCAAGGCGCTGCCAGGGTGAGGAGGGTGTCCGGTTGGGGACCTCGCATCTCTGTTTTTTGCAGACGACGTGGTCCTGCTGGCTTCATCAGACCGTGACCTTCAGCACGCACTGGAATGGTTTGCAGCCGAGTGCAAAGCATCAGGGATGCGTACCAGTACCCCCAAGTTGGAGGCCATGGTCCTCCATGGATTGCCACCTCCGGATGGGGGTGGGGAGTTGCTTCCTCAAGCAAGGGAGTTTAAGTATCTCGGGATCTTGTTCACGAGTGATGGGAAAATGGAGCGTGAGATGGACAGGCGGCTTGGTGTGGCGTCAGCACTAATGGTGACGCCACACGTCGTGGTGAAGAGAGAGCTGAGCTGCAAGGCAAAGCTCTCAATTTACCAGTCCATCTACGTCCCAGCCCTCACCTATGGTCACGAGCTTTGGGTCGTGACCGAAAGAACGAGATTGCGGATACAAGCAGCCGAAATGAGCTTCCTCCACAGGGTGGCTGGGCTCAGCCTTAGAGATAGGGTGAGGACCTTGGACATACAGAGGGAGCTCAGAGTAGAGCAGCTGCTCCTTCGCGTCGAAAGGAGTCAGTTGAGGTAGTATGGACATCTGATTCGGATGTCTCCGGGGAGGCTTCCTCTGGAGGTCTTCCGAACACGTCCACCTGGGAGGAGACCCTGGGGCAGACCCAGAACCTGCTGGAGGGATTATATCTCTCAGCTGGCCTGGGAAAGCTTCGGGATCCCCCAGGAAGAGCTGGAAAGCATTGCCTGGAGGTGGGAAGTCTGGAGTGACCTGCTCTGCCTGCTGCCTCCACAACCCGACCCTGGATAAGTGGAAGAAAATGGATAGATGGATAATTTCTGTCATTAAAAAGTATATAAATTAGAAAAAAAACTGATGAAAAGTAGCCCGCTGCCTGAATTCAGCACGATGGAGGGTTATGCTTGCTCTATTGTTTTGTCTTACAGCTGATGGTATACCGTATGTTTAATTTCCGATCTTTAAGTTAAAGTGAGTGAAGTGATGTGATGATATTGTAACACCAGGCTTTAATGGCATTGGCAAGAACAGCATGCATGCTGGTATCTTCCTTAAAGTAAATCATGTCGTTTAAAATGATATAAGTCAATGTAATGTCCTCTGAAGTGATGAAAACATGACTGTGTGCACATGTACATGCATTGTGCGTACACAACCTTATTTCTATAACCTTATTTTTATAACCTTACATAACCTTGTCTTTGTCTCTGTGCTTCTCCCACAGTAAAGCAGCCCCCCACAATAATCAAGCAGTCAGTGAAGGATTACATTGTCGACCCCAGAGATAACATCATCATCGAGTGTGAGGCCAAGGGCAACCCAGTGCCAACGTAAGCACTATGCACTCACATGCACACACGTAGCTGTCACAGCACACTCACTTATCTGCTTTGTGTCATTATTTTGAGTTTTAAGAAACAGATCTATTGCAGAGACACAACCAGACATCAGGCCCAAAATCTCATCGTTTTTTTTTTTTTTCCCCCAATTTAAAGGTTTCTAAAAGCTAGATTTAAATACTTGTTTCATGTACTAGCTAGGCTGCAAAATCTGTAAATAAACATTGCTTTTTATTTAGTATTTCATAGAAAGGGGGCTTAAACAATGTCAGTGGTATAATAATCAACAGTATAACTACTATTGGTAAAGAATAAGTTGCGATAAAACCTGTTGACACAGCGTTCTTTGGATTATCTAGGGTTAAAGGAATCTGGATAAATAAATCTGCAACAGTCTGCACAGTTAAAAATCAGAAGTGTTAGGTTTCTTCTTCTTTACTATTATTATTAATATTATTATTGGCTAGAATTAGACCTTTAAAGGGGTGCTCCACGCAATAAAAAATATCAAAATACCTGTGAAATATATTTTAAGCTGAAATGGGGTTGAAGCTCCAGGACTCTACCTTCCAAGAATGAAACTCAAAAGTATCTTTCCCACGTACCTCTGCTTGGGTAATGCTTACGTTTCAATCTGCATTCCAATAATTTTTAATATAAGCTTTTGGTTAAACATTTGTAGTCTCCAAAATTTAATGATGAGTCACAATGTTGTAATTTTTACTGCCTTGGTACTAAAAAAGTGCAGAAGTCACAACAACACAAGCAAACATGTCCACCAGAGTACTGACAATTGATTGATATTGTGCTGTATTGTATGATGTCCAGCTCAACATTTTCACACGTTGTTCACATGACACTCCTGTACAGTGGCTACGGCTTTTGGCTAGCAGTTTGTCTGCTCGGTAGCATGATGTTTGAAGATGAATATTCACAATGTTTATTGATCTAGGCAGGAAATCTTCCCGTCATTGCCTTCCCTTCCACATAGCACGAACGTAGTATAAACTGTGATTTGCGCAAACATGACAAATCTCCTCCAGGAGACGTTTTGCAGTGAGTTGTACCCCTAATTTATGACAGTAGGTGGTGTTAACAATGTGGACTCATGCAGCGCTTACTAAGAAAAATCTTGCAAGTAATTCAGTAAATGGTCTAATGAATTCACATTAAATCTGATGTGACAGCTTGAGAGGCTGGCAAACTGCACCAATCATGTGCAACTGGAGATGAATCAGAAAAGGGAACCACAGCTGAGCTCAAAAGAGTCCAGAGTGCAACGCTATTGAGAGCCAGAATGACCCATTTTTCTACCCTCCCCACTGTATCATCCATTGTCTTTATTTGCCTCCTGTGCTTCGCTCTGCTCTGTGTGCCCTTGGTGTGTCCTTGCCCTCACACCTCTCTCGCTTGCCACCCCATCTGTCCCTGTGTCACGAAGTTATGAGTTATAAAGAGTGACAGTGGCACTCAGATGTGCCCTTTGCCACCCTGTCCCTCCTCTGTCTGTCAGTCTGTCTGTCTGTCCTTCTCTCTCTCACACACACACACACGCACACACACACACACACACACACACACACACACACACCACATTTTCATCTTAGTCAACCCTTCTTTTTCAGTGACCCCTTTCTCTTTCATCTGAATGATGCTCCAAAGCTCCTTCCCAGCTCTCTAACAACCCTAAACCCAGCGTGACACCTGTCTGCCTGGGCCCTACAGCTTCAACCAGACAAGCTCTGTTGTGCTTTTTGCTGCTGCTACTCCCCCATGCTGCCCTTCCATCCCCTCCATCACTCTGTCTGGCTGTCTGTTGCAGCTGCTGCAAACCCAATCAACTCTCACTATCTTCCCTGAAACCCTATTTGTGGTCGCTGTCTGGAAAACAATGTGCCCATAAAAACCTGTATATCCTGTGTTCTGTTTTCTCTCTCTCCTCTCTTACATTTCACAGACATAAGAAAACAAACCACTTTAATATCTTGCAGTATAACTATAGTGTATGTAAAGGATGCTACTCTTTAAACTGCGTGTGTGGTTTTGACTCATTCTGTTTTTTCTCCACTTCAGTTACACCTGACCTTAACATGTGTATCTTGATAGTCTGACTGACCAGATGTAGGTTGTAGTTATAAGGACGATTATCTCGGTTGGCATTCTCTCCACCTTCCACTATCTGCATGTTACAGTTTTGTTCACCATTGGAAACAACAGCAGCAACCTCCTGCCTGCAACCTACCACACCGAAAATGAACCTGGAATAGAAAGGTTTGCCGAGGATTATGATCGTGCAGTCAGCCGGCACTGATGTTTTTTTGTAGTGGATTATTCAGTTTGATCGAAGTGTTCGTCTCTCTGCATGCAAATGTTCGAGCACAACAATTCCAGCGTCACTATTTTAAGTGAACACCTAAACTACATCCTTCCCTCAGCCCTGAACACGACGGCTGGGATTGGTTGAAAGAAATACCAACAAGCTGGAGCGTTTTTTCCCTGTAGCTGAATAATGGTCCAGACCATGATGTTCTACTGAATGGTCAGACTAGTATCTTAGTACCCTTTGAAGATAAAAAAAAACACATGTTAATGCAGGTGTCAATGCATGCAGAAAACAATATGAGTGGAATCAGATCTTTGAGACCACAACTGGAGGACCATGTTGTAGTCAAATCTCAATTTTCTTTCCCCTTTACATTCAAATGTGATGTGCCTAAAGTAAAATTAATCACAACAGAGAGACAACCATTTTGGAAGTGCTGACTCATCACTGTTGTGTTTTTGTTTTTGTTTTTTGACATGTATTTGACAAGCTTTATTTCTGAAATGCAGAATGAAGTCTAGATGTCTAAAAAATAAACATACATTTACACCTGAAAATCACAAACACCAGTTCTAGTTCTAGCAGGACTTGTCATCAGCTTCTCTGAGACAAAAACCTTCAAATTTAAACTACTCTGTTTGAAATAATTCATCTAAAGCTAGCACTGATATCAAATAATAGGCACACATCTGTTGATGTTGAAATTGTTCATTTGGTGTAGGAATACATTCTAGAAAAAGATTGGCCAGGACTGCACTGAAATGTCACATCTGTCCTACAGGGGCTTGACAGAAAACTGTGATTATTACATGCATTTGTAATTTTATACATACTTAACTGTGTGCAGTCGAACTCTACCAGGCACCAGTGCTGGTACATATTTCAACTGTTGGATTAGTCTGGTTTTTTTTTGTATGTCTCTCTTTCCTTCCATTAGTCTCATGCTTCTCAGTCATTCTCACGAGCTGCTTTCTGTCTCTGCTCCTCTTCTTTTCTTATTCTGTTCTCCTCACACACTGAGGTATTTAGACACACAAAGGAAAGTTAATACCTTGTGATGTGTACACACATACACCTCGACCACTTAGAAGCAGGTCTGCACACACACATGCATGCACATACACACACACATACACATAGACACACACAGATACAGTGGTCTCCAGTGATTACATCACTAGGGGTATGACCAGCACAGGACAGTGGTACATTGTCTATTTGGCCTTACATAATACACACACACACACACGCACGCACACACACACACGCGCACACTCACCCAGATTCTTGTGTACACACATACTCACAGAACCTCACAATAAGGCTCTCACAGCCACTCTGTCATGCACACACACTGGTTCTGCTCTTCCCAGGACAGGCTTTGTGCTCCAATAATGCACTCAGTTGACTATTCATGCTCATGAAACATTCACCGATACTATTCACTTGCAATCAGTCTCTCACTACGCAATACACACCATAGCACACACGCATGGCTCTAGTCTCCAGTACCTCACTAGTGGTCTATTGTTGCTCTGCACTGTGCTGCACCTCTGACAGGCCCAGCTTGACTGGAACTTGCCTAAAAATGACAGGAAGCATCTTCTGTAAATCCCCACTCCTCACTAAAAATAGAGTCCGATTATGTAAGCATATCCAGTGTTCCACACTAATCAGGCAGCCCTCTGGAAGCACCACATGGAACAGGATTAAGCTTCAGTCATATTACATGCACATGCAGAGTAGGATGATTTTTGTGCTGCTGTCACATGACACAGTTGAGTGACGTACGATGGCATCACATGACAAGCAAAGAACTTTCATATGTTTTGATTATAAGATAATATAAGAGTTTATGTCGACATGGTAATAGTCCATAGGACATAACCTTAAGTGAAGATAACTTTTGAGGAAACGTCAGCCCCCCCCCCCCCCAAAAAAAAAGACAACAGCAGCATCAACTCAAATCATATACATCTTGGCACATTAAATAATGTTTCTTAGTACAACAGGTTTTTGAAGCTCATCATGATTTGTTAAATTGTTGCTTAGGTTTTCATGGCGAAGGAACGGCAAATTCTTCAACATTGGGAAAGATCCCAGGGTGACGATGCGAAAACGTTCAGGAACTCTGGAGATCGGCTTCCGCAGTGGAGGACGGCCAGAGGACTATGAAGGAGAATACCAGTGTTTTGCCAGCAATGATTTTGGAGGAGCGCTGTCCAACAAAATCTTGCTCCGGGTCTCCAGTAAGAACCCATGAGAACACATACATTACGATTAATTATTATTTGTTTATTCTGTTTGGATGTAATTAACACATTGAAACATAATCACAAGCTATACACAAAGTTATTTCAGTCAAAGAATTATGGTTATATTAGAAAATAGAAAACTTAACAATCAGCAGTTTAACTCTTTTTGTTGCAGAGAAAGCGATAGTGCTCTCTTTAAAATATCTGTTGAAAATAATTTTGCCACAAGCTGTCAGTTCTGACAATCATTTGTAAAGAATAGTAATGACTCAATATCAGCTCAGCACTGATCACTGTATGACAGACTGCAGAATTCCTTATTTCCTATCCCTTCCTCGTCCTCCAGAGGCTCCTCTGTGGCCTAAGGAGGTGCTGGAGCCAGTGTCGGTGACGGAGGGCTCCCCGCTGGTTCTACCCTGTAACCCCCCACCAGGCCTGCCTCCTCCGTTCACCTTCTGGATGGACAGCGGTAAGCACTTGCTTCACACCAACATAACCCCGAATACACTGACCGTATCTTTCTTTATCCATATGTGGAGAGTCGTTTTATCTCTGTGCTGTGCTCATTTTCTCTGTCATCGCTGTGTGCACCACTAAAAAACTATTATCAACCATTACATGCAGCTGTTTTATCATCTTCAGATGAGACAAGTGAGCAGCCGACAACTGTATGTTTGATGGCATGCACACGAAGGGAAAAGTAGAAGTGAATTGTGACCCTTTCGGCAACCCATATTCTCTAAACACAATTAGTTAAATGAAATTTGCCTCTTAAAACTGAGCATCTGATCAGGCGACTGAATGCATCATTTTTAGGGATGACGTCTTAACTGGTGTTGAGTTTGTCTAACACAAACACCTTAAACAAGTCAGTCCCTGAAGAAAACAGACTTAACTCTGGAAGGTGCATTTATTTACTTTCAGTCCCCTTAAACTATAAAGAGCCTGAGATCTGGGGTAATTGTCCCCTGGGGACAAATAAAGTTTTGTTAATCTCTCAGGTAATTTGGAGACCAGCTTTATTTCCCTCTTATCATAGCAGTGTGTCTCCAGTGACCTCTAAGCATAATGCTTTAATTTAGCCTTTAATCCGTAATGCTCTCGTGTCTCACAGTTTTCCCCTCTCAGCAGTTTGAGGGAGACTTTTCAGTGTCAGGCATCCTTTCCTCACCGTTCTTTTTAGCTCTGTTTTTTCGTTTTGTCGAATGGATCACGCGACAGTTTAGCTCAGCCTGTGTGTGTGTGTTGGCCCATAAGACCAGGTAGAGCAGACTTCATGTCCATCCAGGAAGCAGTTTACAGCCAAATATGGACCAAAGGCATCATACCCAAACAACATCATGAAACATACCACTAAGCAACAGTTAATTTATTTCAGTATTATTTTGGTATTACAGAATTAACAGCTCAAACATTTAATCAGTCTTCACTATAGCAAAGGTTTCCTTCCCCATCTTGTCATGAAGCCCAGACACTGGGGTGTAAGAGTGACGCATGACTGCTGCCCAGCTGCTGATTGGTCCTGGGGCCTTGTCTTGACGGCCAGACGGCTCATGTCAGTTGGTGCAGTTACAGAGTGCGGATGATCTCGGTCTCGACGTCTGTGTTGGCGTGCTGGAAGTTAACATTTGCCTAAAGCCACTTTACGATGACACATCAGCAGGGTTAACTTAATCGGACATCAAACTGAATTGTATGTGAAAATAGATGCATTTTGAAGCTAGTGGTTAGGCTTCAAGGCACTTTGCCTCTTAATTTATATATATTGTATTTTTGGCTTTATCAGAGATCATTTGGTGGTAGCACATGATTTCTGGAAAAAACATTTCTTTATTGTTTTTGCACAAGAACAGGGTTAACTAAAGTGAAGATGCAATATACTGCTGAGGATGTGTAGTCTGAATCACAGATAAATAATGTTTGTACTGTACATCTCAAGTATAGACCTTAGCTGATACGCAGTAGATCTGATTGATTACAGGGTTCCTGGGGCAAATGAGCATTGTGCTTCTATGAAGTTTGACAGGTGACAGAGTAAAACAGTAGAGGCTGTGACAACCAAACTTTTTGTCTGTAGTATCACTCAATCTCCAAAAATGCTGGATCCTGTATTTTTTCCAATCCAACCCATTTTGTTGTCAAACTGTGGCTGCCTTTTTAAACCCGCTTTGTTAATAACTCCATGTATCTAATTTTTAAACACAATGCGTTTGATTTCTAGGAGCGTCTTTGTAAATCACATGTTCTGATATTGTTTTGTTACCTGTCTCTCTTTTCCTTTTGTCATTGCTCTCTCTGTGCTCGCCCCGTGTACTCCAGGTATGAGTCCAATCCCTCAGGATAAGAGAGTGTCCATGGGTTTGAATGGAGACCTATACTTCTCCAATGTTTTGGCCCGAGACGCTCACACAGACTATAGCTGCAACGCTCGCTTCCTCTTCACACACACCATCCAGCAGAAGAATCCCTTCACACTCAAAGTTCAGACCAGTAAGTACACACCGTGCACACACTGATTTCCTCAAACCTTCATGAATGAACTTAGTGATTACTTTTGTAGAAGCCACTGCTGTAAAGCCATCAGAACTGCTGTGGTCCTGGTCTCTATCCATGTTTGCTGTGCGTGTCCAAATTCATTTGACGTATCCCCATCTAGAGGTGGGGTCAGGACATGACATGTGATGAATGAAACCTCTCCCATGATTTTCCTCTGGTGGCTGTGGAATGAAAACACAGTGAAATGTTAGATTAATTGATATAATGTTACATCTTTACTTTCAGCTTTGTCTGGAGTTCAACACCACTGTGTTATCAGACTGTCTGAGTGTGTGTTTGTGGGAGTTTGTGTGTATACTGATGAGCCACTGTGTGCCTGTTGTTTCCAGAGGAGCCGTTTAATGACACATCTTACAATGCCACTGAACCCTACGGTGGTGAGTTTCTTCAGTCAGGACAGCTTCACCTCCTGTCCACCTCTTTAGTCCTGTCCCACAGTAACATGGCTGACATGCTAATCTACTAGCTACGTGAAGCTCAAGCTAACATGCTAACTACTCTCTACATCTGTAAAATTCACTGATCAATTTCATGTGAAAATATAAGAATGCATTATTTTGTGTCTGTTAAGGCATAGCTGTCTTGTTTTATGCTATTCCGACCACTCACAGAACTTAAAAATAATACTGTTTGCCTCTAAGGTCAGGGATACAGTTGGATGTGGGAGAAATGAGCAGATGTAATGACCTGAACGACTGACCAGGCCAGACGAGCAGGGCTTATGGGATGCTTCCAGTGGATGGACAAACCATGAACTGGCAGTCAGGGTGTTGGGGGATGTGGTGGAGCACGTCTGACCTGCAGCAGCTCACCTTGGTGCCTGGTACCGCAGGGCATCTTTAGAGTCCTTGTAGAGTCCATGCCTTAGTAGGTTGGAGCTATTTTGGTGGCACGCAAAACACCAGCAGCATTTTAGACATGTGGCCACTATGTTTTACTTCATCAGCTATTTTAAAATTTGACTCTTTACAAGAGCATATCTGAAGCTACAGGTATTCAGTCTGTCTTCTGGAGTTTTATTGTCATAACTGTGGAAAGCCTGGGTTTTGATGATGTTTGAAGAACAATCCAAAAATATATTTATCTTATCACATCTAGCAAAGATAGGTAAGGCAAGATACTTCAGAAACATCTGATGAACCCAGGAATCTGTCCTTAAGCATCAGTCTGATATGTGGCAAAAACAATCTACAGCATTAGAATGTGCTTGAATTGAATGTTCTAGGAACTCTGGTACACTGAATATAGGGAGTGCATGTTTTGTGACAACAATTGTGACAATTAGCTGATTTAAGACTGACATTGTGCAGTACATCTGCTTGTAGAACTGCCACTACTCCTTCAAGTACTGTTTCCTTTTGCATTCCATTGTTTATAATAGCTGTATCTTGGTTCAATTGTTACCAGCTTTAATTTACATTTTCTTGGCAAAAAAAATCCTCTTAGATCAGTTTTGCTGCCATCAGAAGTCGTAGCAACAGAACACTTTCATGCAAAATGTTGCAGCAACTAAATTTTCTTAACCAGTGTAGTATAGAGTGTTTCTAGAATATATCTTACTGACTTTTTTTAAAGGACAGTTTTAAATACATTTTGTACGGAAGCTGTGACTACAGTATGAAATATCGTAAGCTGTTTTCAATGTTATGAGAATATTCGATCAAATCAAGTATGAAATCAAATCAAATGACAAAGTAGAGAATGTCTGGCTAGACCAGATGTGACTCCAGATGAACTAGTATCTCTGTGACCCTAATATACACTGGCACAGTAGAAATACGTATTCCTTTACTCCATAGTCTGTTTAGACCACTTTTCAATCTGTGTTAAACGATCACGTACATGATTAAGCAAACAGTAATTAACACACAAATTACCTTTAATTTAAGTGTATTGCACATAGAGAGGTTAATCTGTAAATTCATTATGCCGTGCTCCTCCTGACTGAGCCCATAGCTGAAGGGAACAGATCAGCCAAAGTGGCAGCATATGTGCCACTGACTGATTTGGGGGGCAGTGAAGCCCAGGGGTAGATGGGATATGTCCCGGAGGGAGGAGATGTTCCAAGTGGGAGACCATCCTGCCGGCTCTGAGGCCCTGTGGGACTGAGGAAGCGCCAGCACGGAGGAGGATTAGGTCACATGATGAATATTCAGCCTGGATTCACGCTGGGGTCATTAATAGTCATATATGTATGGAAAAAGATTTGCTGCCTCGTACTCGTGTTTGCATTTCTGTGTGAGTGTGGGGGAGCAGCAGGGACTGTAACAGCTGTGGAAATGCTCACACGCCAACACACTCGCATACACACAGGGTAGCTGCTGTAATGTTCACCTCGAATGAACACACACACAGGCAAGGACTACACTCTGCCTTTACTGTGTGGGTCTAAGCCTACAATGCATCTTGGGAAGTCCTGCAAGCATCATCAGCTGGGTACTGGGCGTCTGGTTTGACCCATTTCCAGGGTGCTGTCGACATCATTGTAAACTCTCCACTGTAGCAACTATGTCCATAACAACTTCCGTTATCACTAATTTGTTTGTCATTGTTCTTCTCAACATGTCACTAAACACAGCAGATCCTCTTCACCCACTCCTGTCTGTCTGTCTGTCTGTCTGTCTGTCTGTCTGTCGACTGCTGGAAAAGCTAACAGCTAACAGATGCTTTAATCCCATGCAGATCTGCATCACAAAGGAGGCTAATGCACATTTAATCCCACACACTCCTCCGCAGGCTGTATCTCTGTGCTGACTGGCTTTCATGTCCACAGTGCTAAAAGCAATTGTGCTGAGATTGTAGCAAACTGGAGGTCTAAAAGCAGTTGCAAATGAATGTTACCTGTTATGTTGATGTCTTTTTTTTTTTTACAGGTTGATACTGAAACAAGTTGCCATCAGGATTTACTATGTAGTTTAAAAATAGAGATAAATAGTCACTTTCAACTGCATCCTTAATTTACAAAGATTGCTCTACATTGATGTCGTGCGCAGTTGGCCAAAGCCCTCACCACACTGTCCAAATCATGCATAACTGATAAAATAATAATACCTACAAAAATGCAAAACAAGTCAAAAAATGCAGGTGCAAATACTAAGACAGTGTGTCTTGCAATGTGACCTGCAGCTGAAGTTGAAGTTAAAGCATGTAAAGCAGCTGAAGAGTCGCTTTATTTGAAACAGCGAAAGAATGTGGATTTGAAATGATCCCTTTCATGACTCATTTTGACAAAAAGAGTTTGACTTTTGTGATTTTACAATCAACTACGTGTCTGATTTAAATGCTACATACATTTGGGTGTTGCAGTTTGCTCACATCCCAGCCTGCTTTGGTGAACTGGCTGATTCCTTTATGCTCAGAGATCTATTCACTTATTGTGTTCTGTTGTACCAGCTGAAGCAATGCAGCTTTACATTTGGCATGAGTTAACCTACAGGTTCTTAAAATCCCTCTTCAGCAACAGTAAATGAAAGGCCTTACAACCTAAAAGCCAACTCTGAAGTTGTGTCTGAACGTTCTGTTCTAGAGGCTTTAGGGTCGGCACAGCAGCCACTTACATGGTGTTGCTGTGGCCCTGTACAGATTCAAAGCCCTGCAGGAATGTTTAACATGGGGCTGAAGGCTAATGGACTAACTACATGACCTTAAATAGCATGTTAAATTAATCTCATTACAGCAGAGAAACTGGGCAAATTTTATCAGCTGCTTTACTTAAGCTTGAAATGGCAATCTTTGCCGTCTCTGTTCCCCTGGTGAACACAAAGCAAGATCAATGAACTTGTTGCTTCTGCATCTCTTTTCTCTTCCTGTGAGAAAAGCCAGGGGGTGTTCGACCTGATTACAGGTCTTACTACTGACTGCACAGAGAGTTGAAGCCACAAAGAAATGATCAGAGTAATAGTGGCAGACTCACATGATGAAGAGGATGTTTAGCTCCCTGTAGAAAGTGAGTCAAGCAACCAGGATATATAAATTCAGGAGATAGCAGGAGGGGTTGGGATGGGGATAGCAGGATCGCAGATGGAGAGCAAGCACTACAAAGAGAACAACACATATTTTGGGGGTCGGTGAGGCCAGACTACAGATCCAGAGACACCTGCAGAGAAAACAAACACAGTACCTTGTGGGGTAACACAGAGTTAGTGACGTGTACTGGTGATATACGGAAGAAAGAGAGGAGAGTAGAGGAGAGGAGCTCAGTACATCACGGGAATCCCTTGGCAGTCTAAACCTATAGCAGCACAACTAAGGGACAGTTCAGGTGATCCTGAGCAGCCCTAACTATGAGCTTTATCGAAGAGGAAAGTTTTAAGCCTAATCTTAAAGTAGAGAGGGTGTCTGCCTCCTGAACCCAAACTGGAAGCTGATTCCATAAGAGAGGAGCTGATAACTGAAGGCTCTGCCTCCCATTCTACTTCTGGATACTCTGGGAACCACAAGTAAACCTGCAATCTGAGAGCGAAGGGCTCTGTTAGGATAATATGGTGCAATAATGCACCTACATGTGCTCTTGTGGTGTATTGACCATCCTCTTTCCTTGTCTGCAGGCCGTAAAGTAGCAGAGTCCACGCCGACCTTCCTCTCGCCGTCAGGGACTGAGAGTTCTAAAATGGTGCTACGAGATGAGCAACTGCTGCTGGAGTGTATTGCTGCTGGACTGTGAGTGCTTTTCACACACACATTAATAGATAAAATATTCACTGTATGTGAGTACTGCTACAATATGGAAGGATTTATAAGTTTCTAAAAGCCATGATCAGTGTTTGCTTGTGCTGTTTAACCATGTGGGCTATTTTTAGCCACAATTTATAATGACATGTGACATCACTGCATCATACTCAAACTGGCATATTTGCTTGTATTTTACAAAAAGATCCAAGGGAGTGGTTATGAGAGAAAGACCAAATTCACACAGGCTAAAAGACATTAAATTAGTAGTTAAAGCATCTTTAGATGAAGTCAAAATGATGGGATGGGTTTTTAAAATAAAAAGCACCAAACTTTCAAAGTAAGATGAGCACAACAGTCACTAACCACAGTGTAGTCCTGCTTGAGTAAAATAGTGCATAGTGGTAGCATGAATCTGAATCTGCAATTTTTCTGCCAATGTGACAAAAAACACAAATGACACCACGAAGCCAAAGCCATACACGTCTCTCCTCCCTTTGTATTTCCCTTCAGTCCAACACCGACAATCAAGTGGTTCAAGAAAGGTGGGGATCTGCCAGGAAGGAAGGTGAAGTTTGAGAACTACAACAAGACCCTGAAGATTATCAACGTGTCAGAGGAGGATGCAGGGGAGTATGTATGCATGGCTAACAATCACTTAGGCAGCATACGTCACTCCATCTTCGTTCAGATTAAAGGTGAGAAGGTTACAGTGGTTATGTATTTCTACCTGTATATTACCTTGTGCTATCATGTTAACCTGACTCTTCGTGTCCCACAGCGGCTCCGTACTGGCTTGACAAACCGTCAGACCTGGTGCTAGCCCCAGATGAGAATGGACGTCTGGTGTGTCGCGCCAATGGTAACCCTAAACCTAACATCCAGTGGCTTATCAATGGACACCCTATAGAAGGTATGGACTCTTTCTCTCTGATTACAAAATATCAGAAAAATCAAAGTTGTAAATGACTTGCTACAAAGTTCTGGGGGAGTGTGTCTGGTGGGACTGACAGGTATGCAGCTGACATGGACAAGGTGTGTCAGAAAAGTTTCAGGACTGGTGTCACAAAAGATTTATTTCAAATCCAAACAACAAACTACAAGTTTTCCCCTTCAAAGTAATCCCCCTGGAGTCTAACACACTTTCCCAGCCTTCTCTGCCACGCCACCATGCACTCCTGGAAGGATTCTTCTGGAATCCTACACAGCTCCATTGTCACAGCCATTTTAATGTCGTCCACTTCTTCAACATGGGTCCCCTTGATGACCCCTTGAGCTTGGGGAAGAGGAAAAAAGGTCAGGTGAGTAGGGAGGCTGCTCCAGCACGGCGATGTTCTTCTCAGCCAGGAACTGTCGGATGTTCAGAGCAGCCACGGCTTGTTCTGCCACAACTCTCGCCTCTTCTCGCACACTGAATGAAGCAAACACCGCAGGATCTCTTTGTAACGTGCTGGTTGATCATCTGAGGGGGAAAGCTTGTAATTTTTAGTTTGGGTTTGAAATATATCTTTTGTGACCTCAGTCTGACACACCTCGTACACACTTACCCTATGAGCAGCCTTACATAGCACTAGGATGTGACTTACTACATGACCCGATTTAGTTACCTTTACCTAGTTAGAGTTGGGGGTTGATGACACATGCAGGTTAGTTTTCTATATTCTAAATAATTGCATTATTTTTTTTTATTGCAAAGTTACGGATCTATAAATATAAATGTCAATAAAGTTCTATTCTATTCTATTCTATTCTATTCTATTCTATTCTATTCTAGTAAAATGACCTGTGGAAAGTATAGATTGCTGCCCATTGACTATAAATATAATCATTTATGTACGGCAAATCAAATTTGAATTAAGTTTATTAGTATAAACAGTGACTCTTGACATGTCAATGAAAAATGCATCTCTTTTTTGTCTCTATAACTGTCTTTATCACCTAACACTACTGTTCATTCTTTGTCCTCCTCCTGACCACAGGCTATCCTCCCAACCCAAACAGACAGGTGCTCGGTGACACCATAATCTTCCGCTCGGTGCAGATCGGGAGCAGCGCTGTCTACCAGTGCAATGCCTCCAACCAGCACGGCTATCTGCTGGCCAATGCCTTCGTCAGCGTTCTTGGTGAGACACTGAGGAAAGAAGCTGACACAATGGAAACCGAGCCGAAAGAACATTGGCATTGTGAAAAGCCAGTTAGTTTTGCTTGTTGCTGGATGGTGTAGCCCTAAAAAACTTTGTAACAATACAAAAATAATGCATGTGCTGAATGGATACCACAGACTGTATGTAAAGATGGATGGAGTGGTGTCTGACATCAAACCTTGATGTGAGTGGGAGCTGGTTTGAAGTCCAGGGTTGCAGCTTATGGTCAGTGTTATCTTTCCCAGATGAAGCCAGGACCTTCCAAATAAGGAGTGTGAGATGTTTTCTTTTACAGTCTGGAAACACGCTGTGCTATTTCTGGCCAAAGCAACGCTAGCTTACTGGAAACACGACTGGTCCACATAAGAGTTAATATTACCTACTTTGGCTACAGTCAGTGGCCATGTGCTAAACACAGTGCCTTCTAATCCTGTTCTTATGATCTAATTTCCAAAATGACCACATATTTACATTTATTGACTGATACCATAACGAGTCGTTGGAAAAAAAACAAAGATTAGTTGTTTTAGAGAGAAGTTGCCACTTTCTGAGTGGGAGTCAGTTAGTTCCAGGGATTTTTTGAAGCCAGCAACCTGCAGAATTGCACTATAAGGTATTTCCGGATTGGCTTCAGCCTAAAGCTGTACCCATGAAATAGATGACAGTTGAGTTTTTTGTAAGTAATGTACCCACCATATATACACAAGTTTGCTGTGACGAAGAACTGTGTAAGATTTTATGACACATTCAGGTTCTGGCTAAAAAATTAACATCTGTGTAACCAGATCATATTTGACTAAACTGTGAAGGTAGTCAGAGTCCCTCTAAGTCTTTGTAAGTGGTAAAGCATTGTTGAGGTGTAATCCACAGCTCCTCTTCCTGTAGACATGCCTCCAAGGATGCTGGGCCCCAAAAACCAGCTGATTAAAGTCATCGAGAACAACCGGACCTTCCTTGACTGCCCATTCTTTGGTTCCCCTCTACCAGACCTGCGCTGGTGAGTAGCCAGTGTTTTATTGTTAAAATAAGAAATCCGTGTTTTGGCATCATCCACTGAAAACCCACATCAATTTTTCCTGCTAAACACTGAATCTATAGCTGTCATCTTTACGAATCTGTAGTTTTCCCTTTTCAAATCACGTTTATACATTTCTTTGTGTGATAGGTTTAAGAATGGACAGGGCAGCGGGCTGGATGGTGGCCAGTACCGTGCTTACATCAACGGAACACTGGAGATAAAGCGTGCCCGTGCAGAGGACGAGGGCACCTATACTTGTGTGGCCAACAGCATCTTGGGCACAGCTGAAAACCAGGTCCGCCTGGAGGTCAAAGGTCAGACATAACATCACTGCTGCACTCAGTCATTTGAAGCATCCTGCAAGGCTTCGAAAGAAAAACAAAAATGTAAAAATGCAGTCGTGCAGCAAACACACAGTGACATGTTGGTATGAAGTCAGTCTGTTACTATGGACATCATGTGCAGACAACATGATGCTCCAGCAGGGTTTTTCCATGGATGCTTATTGCACGTCATAATTCTGTGTGAAATATGAAATGATTTTCTTTCCTTTTGCCAAATAGCCTGCACTGTAATATTACACGCATCTCTTGTGCCTTTTTTCAAGTGCCTCATTTGTACATTTGTATTCAAAATCACATTGAAGTTTTTTTTTTTTTTACCCACATCAATAATTAGCTGAACTGAAAAACATGTACCTAATTGTACTCATCTACCAAGTTATGAAATAACTTTTTCTTTCCATTTAAATCAGGACAAAATCAACTAAAAGAGAAGCTTACAGAGTCTTTAAATTGATGTATTTGACATACTGTGCATGATAGGAAAAGCTAAAGGAATATGTGTCAAGTCTTCAGCTCGTAGATCCTGTCATGATGTAAGGCTGCAGTCAGGACTATGATATTTGATGAAGACTAGTGGTGGTGAAAGGATATATTTATATGAAAGCTTGAACATCTTCAGTCTGATTGTGTTGAAAGTAAAAATTTGTCGTTAAAAAAAGAGACATGCAGCAAGTGAAATGAAATTGTGCTAAGTTCAATTTCATTTTTTTAGTCAAATGGCAAGTAGAGATTCTCATCTTGAAGAAGCCCAATATAAAGTTTAATATAAGTGTATTTTTTCAACCCATTTTGCTGCTACATTATAGCTTGGCTTAGCTTGGAAGTATTTGCTGCTTGGATTATGTTCACTGGCAAAACGTTTTCTTATATCACACTGAAGATTGCTGTCAAAAAAGGGAGGACGCTGGGGTGGATGACTGGATGTACAAGCCATAGAACTTTGACACTATTGTCTTACATTTCCTATAATGCACGTTTGTTAATACAAGCTAGCTTTAACTGAATATCAATTAAATTTTTTAGAGGGGATTGCATTTTTATTAAAGTGAATTTGTCTGACCATGATAGTTAACCTTATATATTTGCTTTGGCCACACTGAATGGTTAGAAGAATGGATGTTTTTGTTTGTGGTAACTGGTCCTTTTCAGCATTGGACCTTGTGACACCAAACTCCACATCTCCAGACAGAAAATAAATCACCCTTCCTAGATGCCTTTAGATGAACAAGTTCATATAGTATGTGTTTCTGTGTGTGTGTGTGTGTGTGTTTCTTTTCCTCCTTACTCCAACCCAGAGCCAACTCGTATAGTTCGACTCCCTGAGCACCAGTCAGCTGTCAGGGGCTCTACAACTCGCTTTGACTGTAAGGTGAAGTCTGATCCCAGCCTGACCGTCACTGTGGCTTGGATGAAGGATGACAAGCCTCTTTATCTGGGATGGAGGTAATGGCATCTATTGGTAGCCTTTATGAAGTACTTTGATTCTCCTCATACACTTCTTATAAGGTCAAACAGGGATAGCCATGCCAACATTTTAAATGATTAAACAGTTATCCGAACATCTAGTGTTAACAGTTTTCGATTTAACTGACAATTTAAATCATTACCAATTTTTGTACAAATATGTTTTTGTTTTCCCAGTCTTGACGAACACTCCCACAGGTGGGAAAACATGGCTTTAGTGTAACCTGTCAACCACGAGCTCACTTCAAAAATAAATAGATTTTTCTGTCTGTTTGTGAGGGTACCCTCACAATTGTCAGTGTTGTTCCTGTTGGGAAGTAGACTACCTGTTTCTCTATCATCTTGAGACTATCTCTCCACCCAGTTGCATATTTCAGATGTATGGGGAATGACCCTCCTGCCCGTCAAGGTACATGGATACTTCTTTAAGACACACTGGCCTGTCCGGTCAGGCCCCACAAGTTGCCTATAAAGCACCTGTGCTGCTGTGAATTCACTGATTGTTGATCTCCACCTCAATTAGAGTGCAGTGTGACAATCTGTGCTCCTTAAAAAATATTCCGTAGGTCTGTAGGTGAGTTGTGGCATATATCCACTTACATGGTGTGGTTTGAGTGTCCGTCTGCGGGCAGCCTCCCTGGATTGCTGTTTCCCTGTTCAGGTTTTGTTAGATTTTTTCCTTTGTCTCTCCGGCTCCTGTGACTATAATCCTAAACACCAGCAAATTGCTCGCGGGTTCATGAGCTGACACGCTGACCGCAGACATCCCAGTTCCCTAAATAGCAGGTAAAGAAACTTTCCTCCAGCAATGTCGGCATCTCTCTGCCAGTGCCTGAATGTCACTGAAGCATATTGCTGCGGTGTAGCTAATGCGCTCAGTGGTAGTCCGTATCATTCACTTTCTCTGTGATAGCTTTCCAGTGTCTGCAGTGTTTGTGGTGTATGACTGGTGGGATCCCTGATGAGCACAGACTTCCCAGTCTTCTAAGCAGCAGGCAAGGACACTTTCCTCTGGCCATATCGGCATCGCTACAAGAGCCAGCTGATGCAACTGTTTCCCAAGTGTACTGTTCATGGAGCTAACGCGCTCAGTGGGACCCTTACTGAATACCGTCTGCTAACGGCAGGTGCAAGAATATTACTCCAGCTGGGCCAGCATCACATTGAAGACACTTGAATGCCCCTGGAGCATATTACTTGTGGTAACCAGCTAATACCCTCAGTGGTAGTCTGTGACAAATGCAGAATGGGACAGCCCACAGTGGGGGTCTACTCCCTCCCTCAGGTGGTCTTCATGGGCTCAGAAGAGTGTTGCCGCTGCCATGTGGATATCCTCTTGGAACACATTCGAGCCTCTGGGCAGCAGTTTGACATTATGGCAATCTCAGGTTACAATCTCTCTGAGCTTGGTTCTGGACTTTAGGAGGGAACCTAATTTGCTGACTCCAGAAAGGCGGCAGACCTTGTAAACCTGCCTTAACCTCTTCCAGTTACATTCTTAGGCTGTCTGTGCTCAAGGGCCCAATGGCAGCCATGATGCAGACCGTCTTTCTCCCTCTCCTGTACATGCAGCCTGTCAAAGATGTCTGCTGAATTTGGGGGCTTTGTCTGCAGGGAGTTCTCCAGACCACGGTTGTGGACTTCCTAACCCTCAGCTGGTGGAGAGATTTAGCCAACACAGAGCAAAGGGGAGTGCTCTAGAACCTGTTGCCAGCTAGTCTTTACAGGTGCTTGCCCAGTGGGGTTAAGCATGGTCTATACTGTATGTCTGGTTAGTGGGCTCTGGGTTTGCTGTTAGGTGACCCAGTGTGTAATGTCCTGCAGCGTAGAGCTGTCCTCCTTGCTGTCTGGCAGTTCCTGCCAAGTTCACCACATCGTTGCCAAAAAAGACAGCACAATGACTGCAGCATCTATCGATAGGCAGGCTGACAAGCACACTGTGGCAGAAGGTTCATCCCTTCTTCTGCTCAGAGTTACACATGCTGAAAACTGGACACAGCAGAAGTAGAAGTCATGTGAAGAGGGACTCCACACCCAAGGTCATGGCAACTCCCTCCTCAGGGGCCTAAGGAGACTTGGTGTCACTTTGTCAATGTAAAAGTTCAACCTTCTCAGTTCCAAAGAGTCACCACATTGTCAACTCTTCTTTTCCTTCATACAATGATGACCCACCTCTGGAGTAGGTCACCCTGGCCCTGTCGTCTGCTTTGAGTTGTCTCTCCTTTCACACTTCTCCAGCCCCTTCTTCCAAGGATTCAGGCAGCATGAATGAGGCTGATTTTGGTGGCTTCTCTATGACCCCACTTGCCATGGTCCAAGCCAGTCGCCTCTTTCAAATGGGACACCTTAAAAGATTTCACTTTGGAAAAGACTTGCTGTCTCAGGCTGAGATCCTTTTCATCCCTTCCTGGCTGGGCTCAGATTGGCAGCCTGGCCTCTGAGAGGAACAAGTTACTGCCCTTAGGCTTTTCAAGGCCTGTGGTGAGAACGACCTAATAGGCCCAGTTGCCATCCACAAGAGTTGCCTACCTGTACTGTTAGAGGGGTATTTACCACTTGGACCTCAGCAGGTGAATTCCTACTGAGCAGCCCAGGGACTCCTGCTGTTTATACTGTCTTAGCTGGAGACAGGGAAATCTGCCAGTACTCTGTGAGGTATAGTGGCGACACCAGTTAGATTCCAGTCCCTCCATGGCTCCATGGATCTTGGGCATAGGCTGTAATGTGCATCAGCATCTCCCTCTTTTGACTCTTGTTGCTGATCTGAAATGGGTTTTCTTCAGAACTGCATTTCTGCTGGCCACTACCTCTGCCAGGCAACTGCTGCAGGTTTTTGCCAGAGGGATCAGATGTAGTCCTTCATCCTAATGTGATGTTCCTGCCTAAGGCTAGATCTGAATTCCACCTGTCTCAGTTGGTTGAGCTGTGGTCACTTGCCTCTTCTGGAGAAGACCAGGGGGACCAACACCAGTTTTAGTCATACCCTGTCTGGCCTTTGCCAGAGCACATCCAGTACAGACAGACTGCCACAAAGATTAACCAGCTCTTGGTCTGCTTTGACTCCAGCAAACTGGGAAGGTTCTTGTTGAAGTCTCAGCTAGAGATGGGTGTTTTCCCAGGTGTGCCAGTCACATCATGGGTCTGAGCACACTCACATTGGTATGGCTACCACATTGGCGAGCCTTTCTCGCTGCCATGTGTGCAGCAGCCACATGGTCATCTCAGTTCACTTAATCTTAAATCCATGACCTAAATACATACAAATACTTTGTGTGTCATATACCAGTGGTTTGGGCTGAACCGTCTCCTCATGGGAAGTTTATAGAGTTACCCCATACATATGAAATATGTAACTGGGTGGAAGGATGGTCTCGAGGCGATAGAGAACGTATAGGTACATTGTAACCATGGTTCTCTGAGAAAAGAGACTATCTCTCCAGCTCTTGTGGCAACTCAGATACACATTTTGATCAAAACTATCAGTGAATTCACACCAGCACAGATGCTTTATACGTAACCTGTGGGGTGTGACCGGGGAAGCCTGTGTGTCTTAAAGAAGAATCCACGTACCCTGTCGAGCAGGGGGGTCATTCCCCGTACATGTGAAATATACAACTGGGTGAAGAGATAGTCTCTAACTGTATGACTGTCATCAGATTGAACTGAAACCTGGATTTGTTTCTAAAAAACAAATCTTTCAGAGTTTCTGTTGTCATTAATTGATGAGAAATACAGTGCAGTCATAAGTCTTTTGTACTTGCTTTATACAGCTATCATCTCCATAAGAGACAAAGTCTAAACCAGAAAAAGAAATGCTGCAGCTATGTTGCTTTATACTGTATAACAACCAATCTTTGTGTGTCACCAGGCTGAGGAAGGATGAGGAGTCGCTGACCATCCCCAATGTCAATGAGGGCGATGAGGGAACGTACACATGCACTGTTAAATCTGAGATAGACCAGGACTCAGCCTCAGCCCGCCTCACTGTGTTAGGTACACCCACACACAGACCAGTGCTCAGACATACAGCTGAAACCAGAAGTTTACATACGCTGTATAAAAAAGCACAAAACCTTTTTTTTCCTCCTCACTGTCTGACACTGAAGTAGACTAAACTTTTCCTGTTTTAGGACAGTTAGGATTACCAAAATTATTTATATTTGTGAAATGCCAGAATAATGAGAGAGAGAATTTTTTATTACTTTCTTCAAAGTCAGAAGTTTACATACACTAAGATTACTATGCCGTCAAACTATCCTGTTTTCCCCACCTCCTCATCCCCACTCTCACACCAGCAGTTGAGGCAGATGGCTGTCTTCCCTGAGCCTGATTCTGCCGGAGGTTTTTTCCCTCCTCACTCAGGTGGGGGGCAGTTTGGTTGCTTCCCACCATTGCCATCCACTTGCTCAGAGGAAGTCCAAAGGCTAGTTTGGATTGTTGGGTTCTCGATTTAAATTTGTAAGGTCTATACCTTACTTTGTTAAGCGCTCTGTGATAACGTGTTGTAAACTGCGCTATACAAATAAAATTGAATTGACAAATTACATTGAAATTATTTGGGAAAGCCCAGATGATGATGTCATGGCTTTGGAAGCTTTTGATAGGATAACTGACAACATTTGAGTTGATTGGAGGCACACCTGTAGATGTATTTTTATACACACTTCAGACACACTGCTTCCATTTGTGACAACATGGGACAATCTGTCCCGCCATCATACCACTCCGGAAGGAGATGAGTTCTGTGTCCCAGAGATGAAGTGTTTTGGTCTGAAATGGGCATATCAACCCCGAAACAAAAGCAAAAGACCTTGTGAAGATGCTGCTGAAGCTGGTAAGAGTCACTATCCACAGTGAAACAGTCCTGTAGCGACATGGGCTGAAAGGCTACTCAGAGAGGAAGAAGCCATTCCTCCCAAAGGAATATAAAAAAAACCCAGATTTACAGTTTGCAAATGCACACAGGGACAAAGACCTTCATTTTTGGAGACATGTCCTGTGGTCTGATGACACGAAAATTGAACTGTTTGGCCATAATGACCATCGTTACATTTGGAGGAAAAAGGGAGAAGCTTGCAAACCTGACAACACCATCCCAACTGTGAAGTACGGGGGTGGAAGCATCATGTTGTGGGGATGTTTTGCTGCAGGAGGGACTGGTGCACTTCATAGAATAGATGGCATCCTGAGGAAAGAACATTGTGTGGAAATATTGAAGCAACATCTCAAGACATCAGACAGGAAGTTAAAGCTTGGGCACAAATTGGTGTTCCAAATGGACAATGATCCTAAGCATACCTCCAAATTAGTTACAAAGTGGCTTAAGGACAACAAAGTCAATGTTTTGGAGTGGCCATCACAAAGCCCTGATCTGAATCCTGTAGAAAATTTGTGGGCAGAACTGAAAAGGCATGTGAGCAAGGTGACCAACAAACCTGATTCAGTTACACCAGTTCTGTCAGGAGGAATGGGCCAGAATCCCAGCAAACTACTGTGAGAAGTTTGTGGATGGAAACCCAAAATGTCTGACCCAAGTCATACAGTTTAAAGACAATGCTACCAAATACTAAGGAAATGTACATAAACTTCTGACTTTAAAGAAAGTAGTAAAAAAATTTCGAAAAAACACATTTTCTCTCTCATTATTCTGTCCTTTAGCAAATATAAATAATTTTGGCAATCCTAACTGTACTAACACAGGTAAAGTCAAGTCACTTTTAATGTCAGATAGTGAGCAAAAAAAGGTTATGTGTCTTTTTATACAGTGTATGTAAACTTCTGGTTTCAACTGTATAAACTGCATTTATAGGATCAACAGCAGTGGAATATTACTCCTTTTAAACCAGATTTTGTCATATTTCCAGAAGACCTGTAATAAATATAAGAAAGAACCAAAATGCATGATTGTTTTTTTGTGACAACAATGTACGTGTTTTAATGATTTCATGAAAGAAAATTCTAGTTATACTAGTTGTTGGAAAGTCATGACTGCCATGACATTCTTGGTCTTAACAAGTATATGTAAACTTTTGTTCACAACTGTAGATGTTCTGTAGATTTTTCTGAAAATGTCTTCAATTTTCCTTGACACTGTGCTATTTTCCAGTTATGTGCCTCAAAATGGAAATCATGCATGTCTTACTACTTCTGCAGTTTACTAAATTCTCACCTAGATTAATTTCTACTGATTTAACAGTTTGCATGCGGCACATGAAAATCCACGTGTACTGTGTAGATGATGCTCTAGCAAAGCTAACTGACTCAGTTTGAGTTTTCTGTGTGACCCTTGTTTTGACAATTGATATTTTTGCACAAAATAATACATCTGAGTCACAGGAAAATTATGTTGTATTTGATCTATCCACTCCTTTGAAGATATGTTTCCTCTGCTGTACATTTCATTCAGTGTATGGAGACACATCTTCAGAAACAAAAAAACATGTATTCAGAAAATACAAAGTAAAGAAACTTGTATTTTTTTGTGACTAAACTTTATCATCAGCTACATCATCAGTGCGTACACCATCATTTGTAAAATACGTGATCACATGGTTTTCTCAAACTGAAGTTAAATCAAACTAACTTTGAGCAGCACAATGTGTACTAAATTATATGCTAACAGTTGTGTCCCTTGCTGTTGATTGGCTTGTAGACTAACCTACAAACTCTAACCTTTATACCCACTTCCTGCTCCTTGACCCTGCCCCACAGAGGAAGCCTCCCTCAACCCCTCAGTCTCTAGTGCCTTGCCTCCAGGTAACACACGGCTCGGTTGGAAGTTATTCTATGTCTTTGTTCTTGTTGTTGTCCTAGTGCTCTTTTCTGTGAATGTGTGTTTTTACTGTTTGACTTGTTTTCTGCCTCTACTTTAACTACTGCCTCTATGTCCATTTGTTTTTTTTGTTTTTTGTTTTTTTATAAAAGCACAGGTATCATGAAAATGTGGCAAAGAGATTTTTGTGTGTTTTGAACACAGAATGGATTTTAAATGCATGTGCTTAGTCCACACTGGCACGTTGTTTAGTCTCCTGTTAAGACTGAAACTGTTTAGATTGATGTTAAGGATATAAAATATGAGAATAGTGTTTTTGCAGCATGCCTGTGGTTGTGTGTATGTATGTATTGTGCATATCTAAAGTCAGGCCATTTTGTGTTTCTTTGCAGACCGTCCAGATGCTCCTATGGATCTGGATCTGTCGGACCCAGCAGCCCGCAGTGTTCGCCTCACCTGGATCCCCGGAAATGACCACAGGAGCCCCATCACAGGTCAGTATGCACACACTCTCTGTATACCTGTACTCTCTCTTCTGTCTTTACCAGCCAGGGAGGACTGAATTGTCCAAAATTTGTTAGGTGATCCTGTGGTGGGATTGTGTAAGGAAGAGAGAGCTAAGAGGTTTATCTTATTTCAGGTCTCCAAGCTCAGAAGAAAAATGACAATGTAGGGAGAAGAAATGAAATGAAATTTTAATAGGTCAGAATTATGAGTCATCTGATAAATTAGATTTCATGGCCAAATACTTGTAAAATTTTAACTGTAATCTGTATTTATAGAAAGGTTTGTAAAATTCATGCAATAGAGCCATTAATCAAACTCATTAACGTATAAAGCCACAAGTGCATGTGGTCCGCTGCAAGAGAAAGAACTGAACCAAGCGACATAGAGAACCTCCTGAATCCCCTCAAGGACCTCCACATCACCCCTCAGAGTTCTACTGTGCTAACAGTAGCTGGTCCTCTTTTCCTTATGTCAGTGATGTTTCTCTGCAGAGTTCCTGGTCCAGTTTGAGGAGGACCGCTGGGAGCCAGGTAGGTGGCAGAAACTGTCCTCTTACCCTGGAGACCTCAACTCTGTCATCCTGCAGCTCGCCCCATTCGTCAACTACCAATTCAGGGTCATCGCCATCAACTCAGTAGGTCAGAGTCCGCCAAGTGGCCCCTCACCACGCTACAAGACCAGTGGAGCTGGTGAGAGACTACAGACACACACTCATCTGAACCCATACTGTATGTCTTTGGGTTTAAAGTAATGTGGCTTGTTCAATTGGCTGAATTTGATTAATTACCTGTGCTAAAATTATTGTCATTATTTCATGTATTATACATGAAATATATAATTATTCACCAAGTAACTACTTTAAAAGGACATTATTAAAATATATGTATATATCAAAATATATATCAATATATAAAAACCTGTACCTGCCGACGTGGTTTGTTGGAGCTGATTTTGTTTAATCTAAGTGCATTCTGTTATGTTGCAACAAGCCCCAGATGCCATTCCCAGAGGTCTACGAGGATCGGGGTCCAAAAAGGACAACATGGAGATCACTTGGGAGGTAAGATGTGTGCAAAAATGTATGTACAATTCTGTTACCATTATAAATGAGCAATACAGGCAATAACACAAAGAGTGTAGTTTGCATTGTGATCAGCAAAAAAAAAAAACAACGAAAAGAAGGTCATCTGAAAGCACACAGGTAGAGTTATTTGTCTTGTTTTAGTAGAAAAAAGAAACAATCTAAAATGGCACTGGGTTTGACTAAATATATTCCTTGATCTGTCAACAGTTAAATATAGAAATAGCCTTTTCAGTCTCTAAGAGATTTGAGTCTTTTTTTGTTAGAAAGTCATTATGCAGAAAATAAAAACACTCCTTTAGAACCCAGGAGAAGCTGTTTATATTATCCATTTCAATACATTCTCTTTGGAAATTGAGTTGCTTCCACACAGGGTGTTCACTGGTGCCACTGCGCTCCAAAACCTATTCATTTCTATTGCTTGTGCCATGGCATGCTACTGTAAGAAAGAAGGCACAGGTACAGCACGGGCCAGAGAAGCCACACACTTGCAGCGGTTGAAGTTCAGATATGCTGGACTTTGACTGCTGCACGCCATGAAGCTGGAATGAGGTATCCTGGATGGCATGGAGGGCAAAGTGGAGGGAAAAGCTGGTGCTGTGTGTCTGAATTCCCCGAATTATATGACCGCTTTGCAGTTGTATTGAGACTCGGGGAGAAAAGCTTTTGTACTAGCAAGGCTAGTGCTAATGCTTGCTACTTTGCATGTGACAAATACATCTTCTGTCGAAGTGTTTGCAAAACATTGAAAGCTTCCTGCTTGAGAGGATGGTGACGTCGCCCCACTGGAAGTTTTGAAAACTCTGTCGAGCTGTGCGCTAAAACCCACATCGAGCGCAGTGCAGACTGCATCCTGTGTGAAAGCTGCTCGTATCAAAACCAATCAACACAAAACTGACAACACAAAATTTGCCTCCTGGGTAACTGTGCGAATTCAGAGTAGGACCCATAAAAGTCATAGCAGTGAGAATTAGCAAGGTGAGGTTTTGGTTTTGTCTCTTCAGCCGCTGCTTGATCTGGAAAGAAATGGCCCAAACCTGCACTACAGCATTTGGTGGAGACGAAAGGATTCGGGGGAGGAGTGGAGTAATGTGACCACCGTGGGGTCCAAACATGTCGTCCACAACACGGAAACCTACGTGCCTTATGAGATCAAAATTCAGGCCAGGAATGAGTTTGGCTCAGGACCAGAATCTAATGTGGTCATTGGATACTCAGGAGAGGACAGTAAGTAGACACTCACCAGATATCAGTTATTGAAACACAACTCCATTAACAAAAGCTGCTTCATTATCAATGAATCATTTCAAAATGCAGATTTTCACCAATATTGTGTCCTCTTTTGTGTGTCCAGAGCCCAGCGATGCACCCACTGATCTGCGAGTGTCAAAAGTTGACAGCACCAAAGTGAACATCCACTGGAAGTCTGTGAATCCAAACACTGTCCGGGGAGAGTTCAAGGAGTACAGAGTGAGACTAACTGCAGTTTTTTGATAGGAACCAGCTGCTGAGTTTTTTCACAGTTTTATCTTTATGCCCTCCTTTGCATATCTTACCTGTTAACTCCTTCCTTCCTGTTTTCCTTCCCAGTTGTACTACTGGCGTGAGTCCAGTCAGGTTCCAGGTCTGATTGTCAATAAGGAGAAGAAGACCAAAGGTTTCTACAGCACCATGGCTGAACCATCTGGCATCCTCAGTGACCTGGTGCCCTACTCTAAATATAAGATGTTCATGGTTGTGGCCAACAACCACTTTGAGAGTTCACCCAGCAACACAGTGGAATTCAACACCAAGGAGGGAGGTAAGGACACAGTCCACCCCAACAAAACATGTAGTTTCACTACAGCATTGTGACTAAAACGTAACATATGTCACTTGGGGTTAGGGCCCAAGCGATATGGATTTGTTGAGGCTGATGCCGATTCCGATATTTGGCAAAAAAAAAAGATTCAGACAACCGATTAATCGGTCGATTAATTTAAAAAACAAACAGTGGACAAATTTTACACTTTGTCCTTTAGTATTTGTTTAACTTTACAACAGAGAGGATTTTTAAAGTACAAAAACATGCAACAAAGCATTAAACATATTATGCATCATTAAAAAAAAATAAGTTTTCCAAACTAATATGTCTGTAATGGTGGTATTTTATTTTAAATTTGCATTGTGCATTTTTCTTCCTATGGAGCATGAATATAGCTACCAGTTGTACTGATGAATCTATCTTTATATTTAGGTCATCAGTGTGTGCTGTATATAAGCAACATAATGAGTGAAGTTACTGGCAGAACATTATTTATGCAGCCCTCTGATGCCCTTTAATGTTAAATCACATTTTCTCTACTACATTATTTTCTTTGCCATGAAGTCATGACTCATATGAACCAAAATAAAAACCAGAGGTTCCTTTCTCAGATGTCAAAACATGTCATCTTTGACAGAGTTGCATTTTAAAGATATAATGGTCACAAATAGTCCGACACTAATGTTATTCCATAACAACACACAGTGAGTTGCTGTTACAGCCTGTGTCACCTTATAGTGTTTTCTGACAAACAGACTGTAGCACTCGAGCTAGACACTGTTCACAGACACACAGATGGAACCGATTACAATAAGAGGTTTTAATTGGCCCTGAAAAAAAGACATATTGGTCGACTTCGATAGCCATTGTTTGCCTTCTAGTTTTCTTTTTTCCACTTTTTTTAAGTTGCTACAGGTCAGGAAAAACATTTTATAGCCTGAACCTGGCATAACAGTCTTGTGTCTCTTTTATACCTAAACACTTTTTGGATGTAATTTTTTGGAGACTACCATGTCTTGTAGGGAAAAGATATTGTCTTAGCATTTTGAGAAATATTTTAGCACTATTAGAATGGGTATGGAGAGTGGCTCAGTGGTTAGCACCGTCGCCTCGCACCTAGAGGATCCCCCGTTTGCGTCCCACTTAGGACGTCTGGGATCTTCCTGTGTGGAGATTGCATGTTCTCCCTGTACAGTGTGGGTTCCTCCGGGTTCTCCAGCTTCCTCCCACACTCAATTGGTGATTCTAAATTTTCTTTAGGTGCGAATATGAGTGTGCAAATTTGTTGGAGACACCCTCTAGTGGACATTAGTGGAATTGCATTATGCTACAATTGCTTTTAGCTTCAATCAAAGCAGCTTTGGCAAAGCAAGTTTCATTCCTCCAAAGTCCTTTTCCTAACCTTCTGACACCTCTATTGTTTTTTGCTCTTATCTTTACTTAATTTTTATGTATCTGTAGTTCCAGATGCTCCTAGGGCCGTCAGGATGCACAGCAAAAGTTTGGACACTATCTCCTTGGAGTGGGAGAAACCTCTAGAGCCCAATGGCATTTTGATTGGATACCAGCTTAAGTACCAAAGAGGTGAGCTGCTCTGATTTGTCCAATCTCAAATAATCAAACGCTTGCAAATGAATGTTCAAAAACTCTGTGTTTCTTCTTGATGGTGGTTTCACAAGTCAGTTTAAGCTGTTACGTGTCTGTGATAATTGGGTTCCAGCTTTATGTGTTTTAAATGGATATGAAGACTTTTCCCTTCAAAAAGTTTCAAAGATATCAAAAAAATCCTCCTTGAAAAAAAGTGCTGTTAAAATGTCCTTAAAAAAAAGTGGATTTTCCAGCTCTGAAACTAATTTTAGGAAGTCCTGTGGCAGTACATTGTTGATGTAGCACCAAATGACATTTTGACATGACAGAACAAAGTTGTTTCTACCCAAAACACATTATTGAAAGGAAGTAAATAAAAATGAGGAGAGAAATTAATGTTTGGATGGAAAATAAAATCTATATATTAATTAAATTAATGTAAAAAAAAAAAAAAAAAAAAACAACAAGAGATAGACACAGTGACAAAAGACAAAACTGTCTCGAGAGGTCTCGGAGATACACAAAAAAAACAAAACAAAAAACATGAGAAAAAAAAACAGGGGGAGAGGGTAAAAAGACGCTAAAAAAAAAACACGAGAGGTAAAAAATAAAACACAAAACCCACATTATCAAAAATTCACAACTCAACAAGTATTTTGAGTAGAGCTGTGGGATTTTGCAAGATTCCATGGTTGAGGTAGAAATTTTTGCCTGATTTATTTCAAGAAAATCCATGACCTCAGCTGGAGGTCCTACGTGAGCTGGCATGGGTTAAGGTTAGGGTTGTCATGATATTTGTCAGAGTAAGTTGTATTTGGACCTCTCAGCTTTACACAGACACACGAGCACAGTTACATGAAAAAGCACAGAGTGAGGCAGACTTGAACCAAAGCTGTCTTGCCCTCTTATCTTTTGCATTTGAATATGTGTGCACAAGTACATTATGTAAAATTCCTAGAGAAACATAAATAAGTTAAGGTATCTTCAATTGAATTCCAATTAAAAATATATGCTATAAAGTTCTTTTGTAGAAGAAACTGAACAGAACTAAACTACTTATAAGTTAGCAAATATGTATACATATACATACAGAACTAAATTCTGAAAAAAAAACAACGAATACAGTCGTGACTCGATAATCACTAATCACACTAAATGTAAAACCTTCTTTTATGTCGGATAGCAAGGCTGTTGGATTGTCAAGACGGAAGTCGAGATACAAGGAGGGTTTGATGCCTGAAGGGCAATTTGCTGTTAATATTTATTGGTCATAGTTGTTATAATAACTAGCAGGGCTGGTCCAAATAGCACTTTCTGGTATCCGGATATTCAGACCCAATTAATGATGAATACCCGAATATTCGGCGCGGTCGGGGGCACTTCCACCCCGGGAGAGCGCTCCGACAGGGTGGAAGTGGCCAGAACGCACAGGCAGTACTTGGCTGCTGATGCTAATTTAGGAGAGCAGTCACACTTCTGTTTCCACCGCCGCTATCCGTGTTTACTTCCGCAAACACCGAGCATGCTTGCTGT